TTCTGCAAACTATCCCTTTAAATGGTTTTATAGCAAAATGCCAAAATGATCCTTTATCCCGTCATTTGATTGAACTTATTTGATGACAGTATTTGCAGCTTTTCTCTGCAATATGTAGTTGTAAAGTGCATAATTTGCAAGAGAGTTTTGGACAATGTGACTAAAAATTATAAATATTTGAATAGAAAACAAATATCAGCATATTTATCCCTAATGAAATTAAGTTTTTACCCTAATCTCATGACCCCTTAACTTGTTTTTCTTAATCAAAACAAGGTCATAACAATTTCTTTATTACCTCTTCCTGTTTGGACACAGGACTCAAGGACTCTCCTTGAGGCCTGCAGTAAAGAAAACATGTTTTTCTGCCAGCGGCTCTGGACTTTGATCCTTGCTCAGACAACGAGACGGACAGGTATCCTCCTATCTCCATCCTGTCAGTACCATTCTCCGCTCAGAGTGAAATTACTTTTTGTTCTGATAAAGAGCTACTCTGTTTTTCCTCTGGGGTCGCTCATTGTGTACAAAGGTTTCAGCAAAGTTACCATGACAGAGGTTAAGGGTCAAAGACAAATAAAGGTGTACAATGTCACCTATGACAATACTGTAAACAGAGAGCCATGCATCCTGTTCTTTACAAAGACAAATCAGTGGGATCGACAATTGGTTTTCTTGGTTTACTCAAAAGATTGGTGTCCTTTCTACTGTGTTTTGTAAAAAAATATCATAACTCAAATGCCAGAGATTAAAACAATGGTGACATGTGTTGCATTAATACAATATGGCATGAATTGCTGTTGATGGAAGAAAGCACATGTTATTAAAAGTGGTAATGCTAAGACTGTTCCAGTGAAGGTAAGATACGGTGTGCTTTTGCTCAGTTTTGAAATATACATACTGCCATTATTATGATTACAGACACACAATATATCACTTTAAATCCCCAAGAGCTGATGATTTTATTTGAATACATAGTTGTTTGTTTTGTAGTTATTGTTGTGATTGTAGTGTTTGACACAAGTTGTTGTTGGTGTAAAGTGTTAATATGATGTAAGGTGTGTGCACTAATTTACCTTAATTATTGTAAATAATATCGATTACAGAGTATGGATGGGAGGAAGATATCTTCCATTGCTAATTTAATTTAATTTCAAACCTTTATTTAATCAGATTGGTCCCTTGAGATCATAGATCTCTTTTTCAAGGGAGACCTGTATGTTAATGGGGATCTAAATCAACAATAAGCTTGTTTATAATTCCAAAAATATATTTAAAGCTGCAGTAAACAATATGTTTGTACTTACAATGGATTATAATGGATCAAATAGCTTATTGCAAATACAAAAACATATCATGTGTTTGCACATAGAGAGTTATTGCTCAATTCTGCAGAATCTCTCACCTTACCAGTTGTTTTGTTTTGTTTTGTTTTACAGCCAGCAACTCCATTTTCTGGTTCACTCATATTCTCTCATCGAGAGCAGCAGTTTCTGGTACATTTCTGTGATAAAACAACTAATTGCTACATCTGCTTTATGAAATTGTTTAAATGTATTAGTTGGTAAAGAGGGACAACTCTGTGTCTTTTTTATTTTTTTATTAGCAGTCTCTCTTTTACCATAATGACTCTTTAAGGTGTTTTCAGGTTGTTCTGCTGCCCTCTAGTGGCAAAGGTAAAAAATAGGTGGCTTTAATGTCCTTTGTGAATCCAAGTCACATCCATCTTTTTTATGAACTGATCAGTTTAAGCAAAACAATTAGCATTAATGTACTGACTATAGTCTCCAATGATAAATACAATTATATAATGCTGCCAGATTTAAACCTATTTTGTTGAGTTAGCACAGAGCTACCAGATTATTTCCTTGCTTTGTCAGTCAACAGCTCCAACTCTTCTGATGAGATCAGCACCCTTGTTTGATATTGATTGCCAACAAAGTTTACAATGTTATATGAGGAGATTATTCAGGGTGTACTGTAGGTGTCGTTTTATGTCTGATCAGTAATGTCCCATGCTCACTTATTTGTTGCCTTTTGAAAGTTATTAAACAATTGCAGTCAGGTGGGATTTAGCTGAAGGCAGTCAAATTAGTTATGGGAGGATGAGGGTGTGTTCATGTCTTTTGGCTCTGATCTAATCCACTGTGAGGGACCCTCTGAACCAGCAATCAGGCCGACCTGCAGGAAAGAGAAGCCATCAAATATCTCAATGCTTTCAGCCATGTGCAGCATCCTCCATCTGTACGGTCCATCAGGAAACTCTTGCATATTGCTGCACCTTCGTCAGGGCAAACAGGCATAATGGTAGCAAGGCAAGGCACATTTATTTATAAAACACACACTTTCATATTTCAACAAGGCAATTGAAACTGCTTTACAAAAACATTAAAATCATTACAATATAGTGAAAAAGAAACACATTAGGAAAGGACATTTTATACATTTACTAAACTAGGCAAATAAAAAAAAACAAGCTGAAATGGAACAAGGCATGTAAGAAGTGCAAGAATAGTGCTGTGTAAGATATAAATAGTTATTTGATTTAATAAAGGCAGTAGCAAACAGAAGAGTTTTGCAGTGATAGCAAACAGTTACTCATTTACAGCAGAAAGGGCAACATTAGCATTCATTGACATTTAGGTATGAGGAAGTTTTGTATGTTTCTGGCCAACATATTCTCTTCTTTTAGCTCTGTTTTTATAAAAGAAAGCAAGTGAATCAGATTTATTTTGTTGTCAGACTATTGTTTACAAAGTCAAAAATGTACTTTGAACCCCTTATAAACTATCACTCAAAACAAAAATAAGATATATTAGACACACAATAAATCCTTTAAATCTAAAGACATGTTATTACAATTTCTATTTAATAAGCTGGAAGATGTGGACTGATCATCAGTCTCCTTTAATGCCTTTATAAATAAAAAGAAACAGCCTAAGCCGGACGCAGTGGAAACAAACACAAATTAAAAACCTCTCTGTTTCGCTGACAGTTTGTTGTTTCCTAGAGCCACACATACAAACCAGATGTTCGACAGTATAACTTTTGGCAGCAGTCATACATTAATTTCTTAGGTGTTTTTTAAAGATCAGATTTTCATTTATAACTCTAATGATGTTTTGAACATGATAACAATGAACAAAACTCAGTGATGAAAGACTCATTTTATATTTTACTCAAATAAAAGCAGCAATACTGTTCTGTAAAGATAGTCTGTTACCAGTAAAAGTCCTGAATTTAACATAGTAAAATTAGGTTATATAATCTCACAAAAAGTCATAACTATATTATTTCATTATGTAACAAAAAATGTAAGTAATTCTAAAGGCTATTTTGAAAAATATCATTAAAAAGCTATAGTATAAAAACTCATAATATAGAAAATTATGAAAATTACAGTATACACAGTCCTCAGTATAGTCATAGCATGTCATAACAAGTCAGTAATAAAGTCATAGGAAAGTACGTTAAGAAAAGTCTTGGAATAGTATGGCATAAAAAGTCATAGTTTATGTAAAAATGTCTCAAGTCATAAGACATTTTTGTCATACATTTTTTGCAAATAATCATAGTATATTATTATTACATTAAAATGGCATAGAAGGCAATGAAAGACTTCTGTAATGGTATGCCAGAATTCTTTTAAATAAACAGTATAGAACAGGAATACAGCCATAATGAAAAAAAAACGGTATCCAACACACTTTTCCTATTTAAGCACAATGTACTAATGAAATTATTTAAGTAACATTGTAGTACAGCATTTTACCAACTGTAGCTACATAATTCACCTTTAAGCAACATTAGACATTGATGTGTTGAACACAGTTGTCATGTTGTGTGCTTTCAGGTACAACAACAGCGTCCTCAGCTGCTGGCTGCCAGGTAATGCAGTTCTGACGATTTATACAGCATGGCTCAGCCTTTTATTTCCACATTAACAAATATTTTATGATCTGCATTATACTTGTGTTTTGTCTGTAACTGTGACTAACAAGCTCTAGAAAATTCAATAATCGGTTGACTTTGATATGAACTGAAGGGTAGAATCGCAGTAGCATTGGATTTTTTAAATGTAGCAGCACAGGACTAAAACAGGATGATTTAAATAAAAAGTGTCCAGATTATGCTGACAATGATTCTAGGGCAAATACTTGTATTATATGGGTAAATCAACATTTTACTAGCCGTGAATTATTGGACACTTTGGCGCCGTTTGACTGAAATGTCGAACTAGTCCCGCCCCTCTGTCGTTACCAGACAGGCGCTGAATCTCCTTTCTCATTGGAGGACTCAGCTGTCTGTCAGTGATTTATCAGCGACAAACTTAAGAAAGCTGCGTCAAAATACAACCATGAGTTAGACAGGAACTATCATGCCTGCCTTCAAAATCAAATCACTGAAAAGCAACTGTATACATCCCTTAAGATAAAACAGGCTTAGTAGACTTTAAGCAATGGTGAGTGACTACAGTAAACACTCTACAAGTAAACATCCTCGAAATAAACATAATAGCCTATGCGGGAAAAAATGCGAGACCAAAAGTACTCATTGTGCAGAAAAGCCCGTTTTTGAATAATTTACAAATTACTGGATTATACTTGTTGTTGATGCATTAATGCCTTCATTACTTTAATATTGGTTTTCATAATGGTGGAAATTATTTAAAAACATGTTCATACCGCAGACTAATTTTAACAAAATGGGAATCCCCATGTTCCTCTTGTATCATAATTTGTTTATTTTATTTCGATCTTATAATAATATGTAACTAACATTGCCTAAGACATAGGCTATAGTGCAGTAAAATGAATGCTGCTAATCAAGTAGAAGTATCAAGTAGCATACAACGAGAATAAATAGCATAAAGTAGACCTACATGTTGTTGTTTTTTGCTGGGGTCTTATTTTGAAAAACAAAACAGGAAACGCGTTTCACGTGTGAGATAGCTTGACATTAGTCAGAGGGGTAGGAGTTTTTTTTTATTTTCTTCTCCTCCCAAACTTTTCTTACCTTCTCGGAAAGTCATGAGAAGTCTCAGTGAGACTGGAGCCAGAAGGTAAGACACAGCCTGAGGGATCCATTAACTCACATGATGCTGATACTTATTGATTAGCTGGTTATTGCATGACTGATCCAATCGTGAACGAAAGACAAAACGATTTAGCTGAGTGTTTTAGTTATTAGGTGCTTCAGAGAGTTACGGTAAATTATTGATCACAACTAATCATGGTCTAATTGTCTATACAACGCCTGTAGGACATACCTGAAACACTTTCTACATTTAGTTTTTTGCTGCTGTAAATCTGTGTCCTTGATGTTCTAGTATTACTTTTAGTGTCATAGACGTGTGTATTTATATTCCTAGTGTGCTTTTTATAGTGTTTAAAACATCCATGAATCTTGCCAACATCCTTTTAATTAACTGAATAGACACTTATACTTTCTATCTTTAATATCTGTGAAATATTTAATTCGTCATGGGTTTTGGAAATCATATTTCCTCCAAATTGTTCCCTCCTATTAAGAAAAGCTATTTTCTCTGCTATGTTTGTTTTTAAGAATCATGCTTCCAAAGATCTTTTTCTCTACCTAAACTGTAACTTGACCTTCTTAAAAATAGAAAAATAAAATGAGTAATTGTAAGTAGGCCTATTGATGTTCTGAACAGATGTGGACAAAGTGAAATGCTCTTGTTGGTCATTAATCCCTAATAGTGATTTAGACACGTGTGTCTTTCTGTAATCTACCTGTGTTGCTCCACAAATCACTGCACATCTTTATAAAGTTTGCATTTTTGGCTTTCCCGTGACTTTTAGTGGTTTGTGCCAAACATTTATCTCGTACTCTATCTTCATCTCCCTTTCTCGCATAAATCACCTCTGTTTTGGATGCTTCATAAATATGTTCACATCAATGAAGTTAATATAAACTTATGAAATAGTTTGTGTGTCTGCTTTTAGTCGTAGAGCATTAATCTCTCTCACATACTGTTGTTGTAGTTGTTACACGGAATGGAAATCCCCCCCTCCACCTCCTGTATAGTCAGCAGTGTTGAACCTCTCCCCCCTCCTCACCCTTAGCTGCTCTCTTGTCTGTTATTACACCGTTCATCATCTCGGCCACCTCACTTCTCCCCGAGCAGTTTTTAAAATGTGGTGTTGAATTTTCAGAGGTCAGTCACAGTGAAACAAACAGAAATCAGTGGTTGACTATCATAAAAGCAACAATACTGATAAAAAAAAAAAGGACCATAAAAGCAGCAGAAACATCTGTCTTGAATATGGTTACTCCTGTTTTGCAATGGGATTCTGGAAAATGTGGGAAATCAAAACTTCAAGTACAGACTTGGATACATTTAGGATGACAGATTCACAGGGTTTGACATGGTTAGAAGATCTTAAGCTGGCTTGATGGTTGTTTAGAGTCGTGTACAATTAGATCTTTCCCTTAAACAAGTATGGCTATAATCAATATTTAATGACGATAAGATATCAAATGACAATTGGAAAACAATAAGAAAGGGGTAACTCTCTCAGCTCATACAGCATTGTTTTAGACATTGTTTCAGGGAAATAATCACAAAATCGACTGTAGTAAGCAGTAAACCACATATAATACAAGTACAGTTAGCAAGTAGCTGGTGAACTTAGAGGAGCGTTTAGCACCTGAAGAGCCAGATATTTCTCTCAGGAGCTGGTGGAGGCCAAAAACAGAGCTAAAAGAGGGTGAATATAGGCAAATCCGTCATTTGGAATCAAACTTGACTTCAACTAAATGATAGTGTAGCTCTGTAACTAATGCATTTGTAAAAAAAAAAAAAAAAGCAACTAATTGCTAAGAAGTTGTCACTAAAAAGTGATTATATGTCAAAGTTAGGTTCATAACTTGTTTCTGCTGCCTCCAAGTGGCAAACAAAATCAGTTATTGAAGTTCTTTCAAAGTCTGCAAAGATGTAAATGAATCCCTAAATAACATTCGGCTAATTTGTTGATTCTGTTGATTGTGTGTATTTCCACAAGTATAAGGGAGGGTTTATATAAAAGCTAGATGCACATTTGATTTTAAAGCACAAGTTTAAGAAAGCGGTTATGATGTTCGCTGATACTGGTTCGACTGCAAGTAATGCAGTTTATGTTTCTTGTTTATGAGTGAGGTTAAATGGTAGTTACCATAATGAAAAGAGGGTCGTGTTTTGTTTGGTCTTGGTAACAATCATGTGGAGAATGTTGTAAAAGCTGATTGGATAAAAGGCCACAGAGAAACAATGAATGTTTATTTACTTTAGATAGGAATGTCAGGACGCGCTGGCCTTTCTGTTGTACTTCCTCTCTAGCTTCTTATTGTTAAATGAAACAGAAATACAAGCTAGAAGTTGAATATGCCGTTAATGTGTCATTATAAGATGAAGGTTGATTTTTGTCATGTTTTCGAAATGCAACTAAGGCAAAGAACTCTGCCCAAATTGATAACGAAACAACCTTCTGTTGCAAAATTGGGATGAGTAAGCTGGAAATTGCCCTTTGAATGAGTGTTTAACTTTCTGATGCCCTCTCAGGGGAAGTGTCTCTTTCTGCAACAGGACTCTGGGGTTTGGCTTACTGCTGTCGCCTCCAAAATAGATTCACTGTAAGTTTAGTTGGCAGTGTCAGGAGGTCACTCTGATACTCTTGATTTTCCTTTTCTGCTCATCTTTTTGGTTTTGTTTCATAGACACTGTTTCTTATTCATGTGATCTTCCCCTATTTACACCTAAGAACAGAAGGAGCACAGTTAATTAGATACAAACTGAATTAAATGTGGTTGTGTGCTCATATGAGCTTGATAAGATGCATGCTGTTGTATTTTTAGCTCTATTTCGAGTGGTTTTAATTTTAGCAGGCTGCAAGCTACTCTTTGGACTGCAGTGAAATGACGAGCAAAGATAGAGCTGGACTCACCAGCGTTACATTGGACAAACAAAATGACTTGTTCTTCTCTAGAAATCTGATGGTGTTACATTCCAAAAGAACCCCCGTGTTAGAATTGACTCGCTGTTACATGCACAAGGAAACTGTCTGTGTTTATATTTAAGGTCAGTAACAATCTGTGTTGTCTTTGTTTTGGATTTCTTCTTTATAATTATCTTCTTCAATGTGAACGGCATCTCTTCACGAGGACAGACAGACTGCTGGTAGTATTTGCAGCCTTTGAGAATCTGTCAAATAAGATTTTTAAATCGGCGGGCTCGCAACCTTAAATGTTTTTCCTGTTTCCTCTTTGGTCTCTACAGACAAGCCAAGTTGTTCAACATGAATTTACTGACATCACCTCAATGGAAGTTTTGAAGCAGTTTATTCCTACGCCCATTGTGAAGTACCACTGGAAGGCATTCAGACATTTCTTAGACGTTGTTGTTTTGAGATACATGTTAGACAATGAAACAGTTTGCGTAACATAAGCAATGTTTTAAATGGCAAACCAATTGCCTCTCCAGCAGTGGCGAAAGGTACCTCAGTACATTTAATAAAGTAATCTATAATGAAGTCAGTGTACTTTACTGAGTGTTTTTATTTTATGCTACATTGATGCTTTGTTTTTCTTTCTAACAGCTTTACTTAATAGACTCTTTTTGTAATATAATTTCATATATATATAAAATCATCTGTAAACTTTTGTTATATATTTAACTACCCACAATATATAAAGGATTTAAAAATAAAACAGTAAAATGCTGCTCACACATGAATTAATCAGTAAGCCAGTAATATAATGTAAAAACCCCCACAGATTAATTTTTTGCGTTTTTAGCATATTTTGCTTGCTAGCTGATATTACTTCTGTCTTTTTGTTCCCCATTAGCCTGACTGGTGTCATTGAAATGAATGAGAGGGCTGCACTTTCCTCTAGAGAGTGAAAAGTCCTGTCAAAGGTCAGGCCATTTGTTTATTAGTTCAAAGCTGATCTCGTGATCAAAATCAGAACATTAATTCCAGGAGAGCTTAAACATATTAATTATCTGCTCTTTGAAAGTCTGTGTTTTGTTGACCTTTTATTAAAGCTTAAGCTTCTCTTTTCTTCTCAGGCAACAATTAGTTTTAAGTGTCGAGGCTGTGTGAAACCTGATATCAGCAGGGTTTCATCTGAATTAGCATGCACCCAGGCTTTGGAAAAGGAAATTACCACTTTCAGCTTCATGCCAGATCCTATGATTGGAGTGGTTTTCCAAAATGTCCCTAAAGGAGAAGAAGCTCTTCAGTCCGTCTGCGAGAAGCAGTTCAGTTTTCTTCTTTTAGTTTAGTTTTAACAAGCTAGGAAAAAACAAACTTGTGTTCTGATTTTTGTAGCATATGTTAACAATGGCACCAGAGTTAGCAGGAAGTATTGAGTGATTACAATACATGACAAAAGCACACAGCAGAATTAGATAAATATCAACTACACACACATTTAATAATATTAAATATTTGTCCTGTTTGTTCTTTGTTGCTGGTAAACTGTATTATACTTACAAGAGTTTCTTATACGGTTATTTTCAGTGTTAGTCTTGAGATTGTTATGTCTGAAACTCAAGCAAACTCTACTGATGTTTTCTTTTGCAGATTGTGTTTGAATTTAATTGTTATCCCAAGACATTGGACGATGGGATGACAGATTAATGGTTTCAAGAAATCTAACCTAATAATGTGGAATTCAGTTTGATTATTTTCGTCATGAAGTCCTTCCTCCTGACATTTCAGCTCTGATCTCTCTTTTTGACTTTAATATAATTCTATAAAGCTATTAGACTTGAACGGACTCTTTGAGTAAAATGAGACCCTGGAAAACTTGATTATCTTATGGTCACGAAAAAAGAGTTTGATCATTTGAGAGCTAACTTGTGATGTGGACCATTTGGAAAATTAATTGGGCCATTTTAGAATCACAATAACTATATCTTAGGTTAAAAAACAGTGAGCGGTTACAGGCGGAAACAGATTTAAATGTCCAGAAGATTAACTACTGGGAATTCAAGATAACAGATAACCCTTGTGTCCCTTTGTTTCATTTACCGATTGAAGATGAGGCTTTCTGAATAGA